GTTTTACTACTGTAATAATAGCATTGATGGGGCTGCTACTAGTACTACTACTACTACTACTACTACTACCACTACCACTACTACTACTACTACTTCTACTACTACTAATCTCCGTCGTCGCCATAGTAGTAGTAATGACAGTCATGACACGACTAGGACGAGGAGACGGTCAACGGCTGCGACGGCTTCGATGAAAGCTGTCACCCGTCATATCATACATGCTACATCCGACTGACTACAGACTTAAGATTCGATAAGTTACCAAGCAGCCACTTATACGCCCCCACTAGCTGCAGCAGGGAGACGCCCATGACGCATGTGTTGGAGATGGTCGTGACCAGGGGCATGGCAGGTAAGCTCAGCCTGCGTCTACGACCGCTGTAGGGCTTGATAGGGTTCTGTGCGAATCTACAATGGAGCTTTAGGGTCCAGAGTTTAGGGCTGCGTCAGTAATTCCCAGGCTCTCTTCTAGAATTCCGACGATCTTGCTAGAACACTTATGAATTACTATGGTTCAAGTCGCTCGACATTCGAACCCCTAACGTCCTAAACCCCAAATGGCAAAGATGGGAAACGTACATCTTGAACACAAGAACGCAAACAGCAAAAATCTTCACGCCGAATCCTAGAACCCAAATCGTCAAAGATCACAACCCGAAAGCCCTAATTAAACCCCAAGAAACCTAAAGCCCTAAGCCCCAAGATTCAAGATGCAAAGAGCCTGAACCCTGAAGCCCTAAACCGCAAAGATCAGACCTAAAGCTCAAAACCTGGGACTTGTTTAAGGACAACGGGTTGGCTTCGGTGGTGGGTTTCGAGTTGTCTTGAGCGATAATACATATGCCCTCAAGAACTCAGGACACCACCTGAGGATGACGGAGAAATCCTCTACCCCAATGGGAAGCGCAGAAAAGGCTATAGGGCTTCAGGGGTTCGGGATTTAGTCTCGCGGGTTTGGGGCTCCAAGTTTCGGAGGGCAGGCTCAGAGTTTCAGGTTCAGGGTTTCGATGCGCAGGGTCGATAGTCAGTCATGCAGGTGTACACACAGACAAACGAAGCTTCTCTAGGTCCAAGAACATCCGAAAAACCTGTCAACAACGTAGCCCCAAAAGCCTTGAACCTTTGAATTCCCCCCTCATTCTGGCCCACCTGAGGATTGCGAAGAAATAGGTTTTCGGATGGCCCAGGATTTCTCGGCTCAAAAATCAAAGCAAACACTCGAATTCAGGGTGTCGGGCAGTTTGGGGGTTGGGCTAGGACCTGACATAAGGCTTCTCGCAGTGCGTTGCTGTCATGATGTAAATCTAAAGTTTAGGGAGGGTCTCACAAACTTCTTTTTGGGCTTTAGTCTATCCGGGTCTAAGGTTCATGATAAGGTTTACTCTCGGGCCACAGCGGCTGGAAAAGGATTGTGCTGTTGCAAACAGTCGGCTCGGGGTTTCTAGGAGGGTAGCTTTCTGTTGTTGCGTGCTAGTCCAACTAATCCGTCAGCGCCTGAGTGGTACGCACAGAAAGGGATCGACCTTCGGCTGAAGCCTCCCTTCATTCACGAACTCACGGACCGAGGCTGTAACTGTGCACTGGCTCGAGCACGACCTTCCAGACGTTCGATGCTAGGCATCGGAGCTCCTACGTTTCATCCTCATGCATCTCAGGGCTGAGCATGCAAAAGAAGACCCGATGTCGGAGTGCTACCATCATCAGTCTTCATAGCAGGTCCAGCCAAGATGGTATCATAACATGACATGATTTTCAGTACTGCCGAACCTCGTGTTCACTTGCTCTGGGTCAGTGTGCAATACGTGTCTGCTTACTGTAGACCCTAGGATGTAAGACCCAAATTGCGAACTCTGGGTCTGTCGACTTCAGTCACTTCAAAGCCCGAATTAAGCCGAAATCCCTAAATCCCCAGCCCCAAATTCTCAGCAACCGACCACGCACCCACCCGTCAATCATAGTCCCCAATACTTTCTTGCGGGTGATCTGCTGCCCTAACGCGCAAAAATACCAACAACACGACATCCCGAGCCCGATTCTCAAAGGACTGCCCTAAAACTTTCTCAGAAGACCTTCAAACCAACACAAGAATGGCAACCTTTTTATAACAAAACCAAACATGCTTCCAACATCCTAAACCCTGCTTGCCCAAAATCGTAAACCCTGCATGCCGCTATCAGACGCTCGAGGCACGCATGAAGAGGAAGTCGATAACACCGGTGTGGTGCACCCCAGCAGAGACAATGCCCAGAACGGCCACTGACAGGACAACTGAGTTGCCTGGGTCTCCCCAGTGTTTAGGGGAAGTCTTGGACTTCGGAGTGAAACGTCGAGGCAACGGTTTTCGGGTTTGGCTCCTTGGGGCTCAGGATTGAGAATGTCCGGCTCATCGTGTTTCCACGGGGTCTCGACCTTGAAAGACTCAGGAATGAGTAGAGGCCCTGACATGGAACCACAATGGTATGATCTTTCTGTGAGGGGCCGGAAGCAGAAGCGCCTCTGTTTCAGTTTAAGGAACTAGCACGATTTATGGGGAATTGCGTCGCGAACAGAGCCTGGTAGTTCTTGTCGAGATCATACACTTCCCCACTCACTTGCGCACAAGTAGATGTCCGTGGCAGTTTCTAATCTGGCTACCGGGTTTGTTTCCTGTAGGATCCTAACCATTGGCAAGCTGGTCGACCAAAACAAAAACATTATAGATAGGTGTGCAAAAACGCAGGCCCCATGAAGTCCCTTCTGTATAGATAGAGGTACTGTAGGAGATTATGCAAACCAAAACCCCAACACATCATCATCATCATTATTATCATCATCATCATCATAATCATCATCACCATCATCATCATCATAATTATCACCACCATCTGCATCAGCAGCTTCAGAATCAGTATTAGCCTTGCCTTGGCCTGAGCATAGTCATCACCATTGTCATGGTCACGGTCGTCCTCGTCACTCTCTAGCATCATCACAGGAGCACAACAAACTTAAGTGTTCACAAGAAAATCAACCTCGAATCTTGCAAGCACGAGTTTTGCATCCGGCGAGTAACAATGATTAGCAGTGCCAGAGCAAAGCACTAAAAATAACGAGCTGAGCAGGCTCCAATGGGATTGAACTTGGCTGTTGTGACGCTGGTGTATCTATCAGGACCGGCTGTGTGAGCTGCGGCAGGCTCCAGGCAGACCGCTCGGGCGCACAACTGAAGCTGAAGGTGCGGTCGTCGTGTGCGTTTTCGTTGCAAGCCTCATACCAACACTGACAGACAAATGACAGCAATGTCTTGAAATCAAGAACCCTGAACCCTCAACAGTGTTATCTTGAACTGACTGTCAAGCTGCTAAAGCCACCCCAGGCGTCGCGGTCGTTGTCCAAGGCACCAACAAGCCTGCCAACTGAAGGGTTGTAGGTCAACCTCAAATTGTGGTTGAGGGATTCGGGTTCTCCCTAAGCCTGAACCCAACTGCCGAAAGCCTAAGCCCTAAACCCTTGAGGTTGAACCTCAACATTAACGGTAGGCATTAACGGTCTTTGGGTTTCAGGCTACACACCAAAAGCCAAGCCAACCGCAAGCCGGCTTTCCGTGTTTCCTACGGCCACTGATCGCAGCTACCAACGTGTTGTCGAAATTTTCGCATGCAATCACACTACGAAACCTAGAGCCCCTAGAACCTGTTCTGCAGCCTCAAAAGCTACAAGCATTGATCACTGTGTCAGGACCTTCACGCGCAAAGCTCTAACGGAGACTGTGTGTTGAAGCCGCAAGGCCAAGCCTCAGCAGCAGAGTGGAGCTGATCAGAACCACGTCTGCTTGATACTGCTTCAGAAGCAGGTACAGTGCCTCCAGGGTTACCTGGGCTGCTTAGCATGGTGCTCGTCGTTTCGAGGCAGTTAGCATGGTGCTCGTCGTTTCGAGGCAGTCGCTGCTGGCTTTAAGTTTCGGCATCAGGGACAGTTGGAAGTATGAAGACCTGCACACAAACAACAGACCTGAAAATACTGGGATTGCGCAGTTCAGGGGGCGCACCGGCCTGGGTACTTCGAGCACCAGAACTCCTTCTGTAGTAAGGCCTAGGAGGAGGTCTCGAATTCAAACTCACCGCTCAAAACCCTACCCTCCCAAACCTAAGCCTCACCCTGAATCCCGGCAATAACTTGGTTACGTCCCTCGAGACCATTCCTATATACACACCCCAGATCGCCTAAATTCTGGGGCTCTGACGAACATGGTGAAGTAAGAATAGCCGTCCCTGGGCTGAGAAGCTTCACGGTGTTCAAGCTTTCCAGCTGCAGCGAAGGTCAGACGTTCACGTTCTTTTGGGGCTTAGGGCCCTTAGGGCCCTGAACCATTTCTCAGCCTCTAAGTCCGAGTCGTAGTTTTCGTGTCTCTGCATCTGGCAAGAGTGTTGCCCAGAGTTTCTTATTCCTAGTGTTCGTTTGTACTAAATCACATAACTCCAGCACATACAAGATCATGACCTCTAGCATGGCTTTGAAGCGTGAGGTTGAAGCTTCAGATGTCTGCTGCTATGTTTAGTGCTGCAGCTGCTACTGCGTTGATTCTATCACAACCATACCGTACATTGTCAGCCCTGAGTTTTCGTCTGTACAGACAAAGCGTGGTGATACTGCAATCATACTGTATACAGTTCCAGCCGCAAATTTCATCATGGTAGTTCATAAAGCCCTATATCATGTCATTCCAAACTTTATCCAGCCCAAACGAGGCCTTGCGCACAGCTTCCTTTTCGGTGGACCCCTCGGTACGCACATTCACTTACATGCGCGCGAAATCAGTTTGGGTGGAGTCGTGCTGGACCATCATCAGCCCCAAATCCACAAGCACGTACGACCCAAAATCCTGAACTTGTCATACCGAATCTTTTCAGGATGCATGCGAGTTTGGGTTTCAGGCTTCTCACAGGCTGGTGATAAAATATCCAGCCCCTGTTGCATCCACCCGAGCATCCAAGAACCGAGTATGTGTTCCCAGCGTCAGCTCCGCAGTGGGATGCAGTCGCCAAAGTGCCAGTGCTAAACCAACCAGGCAAGCCTTGTTGTTCAAAGCTCTGCGCAGTCTCGTTTCGTCTCTGTGGGTATGCGCTATTGCTACTCTTGTAGGGCAGGTGGCACATGCTTTGTGGTTTATAGAAACAACGGGCGTGTAAGGCTTTCAGCACGGAGCCCCGGGAGAGCTTTGGGCCATTGAGGGTTGGAGCGATTAGGGCTAGCTTCAAAGAACCTTGGAACCGGAGCCGCAAGACAACAGCCAAGGGCCAAGACATGAAATCCGTGAACTCTTTCAAAACTGGCCCAGCCGCTGTGACTGGGAAGGTTCGTAACAACTGGTCATGCTAGCCTGGCTATGTATGATGCCCGGATTCATGTATAGCATACCCTAGTGACCCTAGTGCTGCTCCACAGAGCCTAGGAGTCAGGAGGACTCATAGGTTCACACAGGTTTGTCGGCGATCTATTTGCTGACATGTTGACCCGGACCCCGTAGTAACCAACCTCCGAACCCCCCGCCAATAAACCCGTAAGTCTGCTGGATTCCCCGATATTCCCCGATTCGGCCGATGTTGTTCCTATATATACACACACACACGCACACACACACGCACGCGCACACGCACCGCATAAGCCAGCCGTAAAATTGAATCCCTTTGGCAGTATACAACATCTGCAACTCTGTATTCGACAGCATAGCGATTCATCGATGAATGTCCCTGAGCATAAAGGGTCGGAAAACGTTCAATGGTTTAGAGTTGTAGACAGAATCCTAAACCCTGAACCCGAGGCTAAAATGCGAAGCGAGGCACGAAAACTAGAGCTTCAGGAGACTGGACACTCACCTCCATTGATTCGGATTGCCATCTCGGGTGAAGGGTGTCGGGTTTTGGGCTAGCTCCCGGGGCAGCAGTTTGCTTCAAAAACCCATGGCGAATGCATCTTTCATTCAACCACCGTGTACTTTAGAAGTCCTTGTTAAGTGAATCTTGCTCGCGGTCCTACTGCGTCACAGCGTCGTATCGTGGGAAATAGATTGAAAATGTTCAGTGTCCAAACATCACTCCCAAACACACCCCAAATCGTCAGCGATTCAATCATCCACACTTCACACGAGTTCGAGCCATGGGATTTCGTGTCTGCCGCTTTGATGCCCAAAGCGTCCGGCCTGGAAGCGCGTTCACTTATCATCGCCACGAACCGAGACTTCGAACTCTAAAACCACAAGACTCACACCCTGAAGCTCAAGAACATGGCAGCCCTTAAGTTTCAGCACGTGTTACAGGGTTGGCAGTAGGGATTTGGACATTTCATGTGCAAGGGTGCGGTTCGAGAAGGCCGCAAACGTGGCAAGGAGTCGCCTTTCTTGGGAAGATGTATTCGTCGGGCAAATTATACTGATATCTTGGCATTATGGATCGAGGGCCTTGGATTCAATTGGTGCCAACTTCGGGTAAGAAACATGAAGAAAGCACGGCAACAGCAACTCCGAGAGTGTACTTTGAAGGGAATATATAAGGGAATCGAACTTACACGGCTTGGTTTTTCCGACATGCGATGCACCGCAGAGCTGGTATAAGTGTGGGACTCCGTTAAGGACCAAAACCCTACGTCAAACATGTGTAGAGCAAGCGGCCCAGATGATCTCGATGGGCTGTTGCCAGGCGTAAACACCCGAGGGTAATCCTCGGTGCACGGCCGGGTGCAAGAGGTTGCATCTTCTAGAGGCCGTGGCTCCATGACGGGATCTGCTCGGAAAGCTTTTTTGCTCCTTATAGGCCTCTTCGTATCTTTTCGGAAAGAGGTTCATTAATTTGCGGTCCCAAATTGCTTTGACCAGGGCTTCGAAGTACACAGATTGCGGGGTTTCAGGGTGCAGGGTTAAGCAACAAAAAACTCCTCTTCCCCAAAGCCTCATCAGCCCCGCTCCGTTATCGTATCCTGAACAAACATTTTACACTAGCACTCTACCCCTGAACCCTAATTCCTGAAGCCTACAATGTCAAATTCACATGTAAGGCCAAGCATCTTTTCAGATCCGTCGGGCTGTCGTTGCCTTGCGCGTCTTTTCTCAGTCGACCCCAGCTGCAGTGACTCAGGGAAATTTCGGCTATGCTACAATACACCTGTCAGTCCAAGGTTTTGTCTTTATGAGACTGGTCAAAACAATTTCGCATGCTGACAGCGGGGTTTGCTGGAGCTTGGGGTCCAGGGTTGAGGTCTCAAGGTCTCCATTTGCTAGATGTATACATATATATATACACATACGAAACAAGATACATGAACAACTATATTAATATATATATATATAGATATATATTTATTTATACATATATATACATACATACATACATACATACATACATACATTCATACATATATATATATATATTGTACAATATATATATATGTATATATATATACATATACATACACATATATATATATATGTTTGTATTTACTTTACATATATGTGATATGTGTTTGAGCTTTGGGCTCTGTGGCTTGTGTGAGGCTGTAACTACCAAACAAGTCCTCCACGGGCCCGGGCCATGCGTGTGGCAGCAATTAAACTCAAGATCTGAAACTCTCAATCCTCACCCACCCTCCCCTCACCCCTCAAACAAAGGTTTTGAAGGTTCTGGAATGTTCTGACGGCTCATGGGCCGAAACATGCAAAGGCTGCAGTTGTTCGGGCTCAAGGTGTTGGGGCCTTGGTTCGGGTTTAAGGGCTTTCGGCAGAAAAAAAGACCAAGGACCACGGAATACCCACAAGCTGCATGATCCAAAGTGTCAGGTTGAACATCAGCCCTCTTTACAGGGGCCCCAATTGGGGCCGGAGGCTTTGTATTTGTAGGGTTTTGGGCCCTCAGGCCTCGTCGGTAAAGGGTTTAGGGTTTAGGGTAAGAGGATACCTACAGTAAGAGCCCTTGTTTTTTTTTCCAAAGACTGCCACAAAAAAAGGAAAGTACATGGAACCTTTGGGCACTCTATGAACCGAGCACCAAGATTTCATCGCCTAGATCCACTGATGAGATGTGCAAACTCTATATATGTATATATATAAACCCTACACCAGCAGGAGCCTCGCGTATGCTTGTCCAAGATCGGCAGCAGAAGCCGGGAATGGCGTCGACTCCTGAGTTTTCATCTTCCTCCCTCCGGTTTGCTGCCTTAGGTCTGCCGGTTTGGATGTGTGTAAACTTTGAAGTAGCATACACACCAGGCACAGACATGATTTCAAGAGATTGGTATGGCTTTATACGATTGCAGTTTCCAAAACCACTCTCCGAAGAAATAGTTAATGTCGCACGATACCAAACATCGCGAAACTATAGGTTGCCACTGAGCATCGGATATCCTGCGAAGGGCCGAAGAACTCGCCCAAACCCTGAATCCTAAAGCCTTAGCACCCCTATACCCTAAAACGCCCAAATTATCACACCCTATAAAACCTAAGTTTCCTCGGCAGGGCGCGTGTTGCTCAGCAACGGCTGCGCCGACTCCAGGATCCCCGACCCCGACCGTGACGCGCTTCTGCTCAGAATCGGAGACGCCAACTCGGGGTCCTCCATGTTCAAGCTCGGACAACATGCGCGGAGCTGTTTATACGTCGCGTGGAGAGTGTATGCATACAACACTGTATATGTGTGTATGAATGCCTCTCATACATGCATCCACCTCTCCGCCTCCATCCATCCATCTTTCACCTAGAGTGCTATCCTTGGGTCTAAACGCTTGGGCGACTCCTTTTACTACTGGTCAGTCCTTTGCTGATTTCTAGCATCCCGAGGTCCCGGCAAGTCAACACTCGAACGTCCCGCCACGTCTACGCTTGCGTTCTTCAGCCCCAAACCTTAACTTAAACCCTAAGCCCTCAGCCCGGAATCGCAACCCCGAAGCCTGCAGTCAAGCTGCAAAGCGTTTTGCTGCTTCGGGGCTTGGAGCTGGAGCTTAGGGATTTAAGAATCGCGTTCAACGGTTTCTTGCGCACGGTTCAGGGTTTGTTTGTTGCGCTCTTTAATCAAGAGGGTTGCGGCTCCTACCAGTCCTAATTACCGTTTCCGGAGCTACATTCACAGGGAAAAGCCCTGTACAAGACCCAGCTGCAGGGATTTCGGCGCAAGCTGTGTTACTTGCGAGACTGAAACAAACATCTGGATGAGGGTGTGTGGCCCTGCTTGCAGGATCTTGCAGGTAGGCGCACTTAGCAATTAGGTCAGACAGTATCTGACTTTCCGGTAACGCAACCCTCACTCGGATAAACCTAAATTCTCCAGTATAGCAGCATTATGCTCGAGATATCCGACAACGAAGAACATCAAGTCGAAGGACCTGCCTCCAGCAATTTTAACATCTGGGAGCAGCGATTTTCGCCGTCCGCCAGGTAGGACTCGTTCAGGGTCTCCATAATGTCGGCCTTGTGGCTCCAGGGTTTGGGGTTTTAGATGATTATTGGTTAGGGTTATATGTCCTAAGGCGGTTTCCATCACAGAAAGACTCATCCTTCACCAGAGGAAATCGACAAACTAGGGAACTACCTGGAAGTGCCTACACCTTTAAGCCGAAGCCTAGCTTTTAGATGTGCGTTTACACGATCCAAGATGTAGACCGTAGCAAGATAAGGGACGAAGCCGCAATTGGCCTGACCCTAGGCCTAGTCAAGCTCTGAAACATGAAAACCTCGACCTGTGTCAAAGATTAGTCCCGGCGTGGGAACTGAGCAGTTTTTGCATGTTCGGATTCTGAAGCACGAATTGTCTCCGAATTTCTCGAATCATAAGTTCGAAAACAAGAAAGACCATCGAACCCCTATCCAACTTGAAGGGTGCGACTCAGCCTGTGGAAAGCGACAGCCATGCGTTCAGCTACCAGAACCCATGTGTCTATACGTTGGGTCCCTATATCAACACAGTCCAAGGAAATGTTTGTATGAGGACCATGTGACAGGACTTTTGACAGGGTCCTAGTTGCAGGTTTCGGCGTATTCAAAGACATGTTGTTAAAGAAGCCTCCCTGTAACGTTGGGTGAGCCTCCCCCCAAACAAAATCTGGCGGCCTGAATAGTGTGACACTTCTTTGTTCCCCAGACCCGGTGTCCCGATAGCGTGGTGCTTAAGTGTGGCTATGGCTTGGTTTCCATTGGGGTTTAGGAGCGTCTGATGGGTTTCGGGAGGGGGCTTGGGTTCGATCGGCCTAACTAGTAGGGGGGTTGCGTGTTGTGAGCTTACCTAGAATTGAGTAACGGTTTAGGAGGGTGTCTTGGGTGTTGGGGGGGCTTGGGGCTAGGTGGGCTTAACTAGAAGAAGGGCTTAGGGTTCGGGGTGGGTTTGTTGGGGGGTTGGGTTGGATAGACCCCTAGGTGTAGGTAGGCTAAAGTACAAGGGTTTAGGAGGAGGCCTGGAAAAACGCATCAAAGACTGTATCTCAAAAGCCGGTGCGACACTACGCTTCCCGGCCCACATTCGGAGGCCATGCTACGAGCATGCATGGCATGCGTTGTAGGGTCGTGTTCTGACTGCACAACTAAAGGTCCTAAACCACGGCATACAGCTCGAGGGAGTGAGAGTTAATGTCGGGCATTTGTAGACGACCAGGCGGAAGAGAAGATACCAACTTTTTTCTGATGACCCCTGGGCCTTAAACATGCGCTTCGGGTTGAAGGCTTTTTCGACCCTGACAGCCCTGTACATGTTCAGCCCTAAAAACCCACAGCAGGCATCCTCGATTCCAAGACCCTAAACTTCAATCCCTTCGCCCAAACAGGCCCAAAGCTTTCGAGACAACCTGAAGTCTGCGCTGTCTTGGATTACCTGGTCTATGGCTTGGGCTGCAGGTTCTGCAATTTCAACTACAACCAACCAATTGCATCTTGGGGCTCATGTCATGCTAAACACAAAACAACGAAGAGATCGAGGCCCTGAGCCCCATAGCTTGGTTCTACACCCTAAAAAGGGCATAGGGCTGATGGCTTTGTTCGCCTGCATGGTCTTTGAGACTCCGCAGCGCTTGTCATACCTTGCACAAGAAAGATTTCAGATTGCCGAGATATAGCCTAGAGTTCAGAGGTCTGAGGTTGTTAGGGGTGAAGCTTCGGGTTGAGGGTTGTAGGGATGTTGAAGGGTGTCAGGTTTGGAAATGAATTTTGGGTTTGGGGCTGAGCGGCCTCTAAATCGCTGGAACCCAACACTATCCCGAAGCCATTCATCTGATAAGAAGCTGCAGAAGTTGGCTAGGCCTTGGGTTTATGAAGATTGACAAAGACTGTTACGAGCTTCAAGGCTTTACAGGCCTCCAAAGGCTTCGGCGAACGAGGTGTGAGAGGAGACCGCTAGGGAGCGTGCAAATCAACATCCGAAGAAAAACCGCGGGAAATCTCGGCCAAAACCTCACCTAGATCTACTAGTGTACCAGTAGTCTACGGCAAGTTTTAAGAACACCGTAGTCCACGGTAATTAATTAAGTTTCAGACACACCCTAAAGCCTAGACGAATTGCTTCACATGTGGAATGAGCTGTTGACCACAATTTACCTGCAAGAGATGAGCCATGATGACTCCTGAAAGCCTTGGCACCGTGAGTCCGCGATGTGGAACAAACGCAGTGCCATCAGGACTACTGCACACTCTGATTCCAGAGATCCATCCCAAAAACCGTTCGCCGCGCAACGGCCTATCCGAATACAAACAGGCAGGACAGCCCCAGACCCAAAGCTACAGGCATGCACATCCTAAGCATTCTCCGGGTGAAAAGAACGCCTGAAATCATTCAGGCTGCTTTTTTGCAATCTTCCGGATCGCTTCCAGGTTGTAGTGAGCATAGCTTCGCAGGTGTCTGACCTGGAAGGAAAATCACGTTCACCAGTTTCTACATTGGCGACACTCGAAACCACTGTGAATCTCGGAACTCTAAAGTAGAGCTGTCATCCTCCTGGCCTAAGCTAGAGATTTTAGATATTCTAGAAACATGTGATGAAACATCCCATGAATCATCCCTTGAAACATCCCCTAAAACATACACCACTGTAACTGTAATTGTGTTTTTCTGTTGTGTTTTAATTGAT